GCAAAACCGACGGCGGATGGCGAGCGACAATGCGCGGGAATTATCCCGGAATGACGGGGTAGTTTTAAAGCCGGGAAGCCGACATTAGCGCATTGATAGCGGCTCCGCGCGTTCTGCCATCGGCCGGACCATTAATATTACTTAGCTCGCGCCGCGGAGCCGCGCGCCGGGGGTCGACGGATCCGTCGCTTCGCTGGTTTCCGTGTTTCCGCTCGCAACCCCTAAGTTTTCACTTCTGGCCGCTCGTGGATTTATAGCTGGAAACGGCCGGTCTGTTACGTGTAAATGGGATGGTTTCTTTTTGGGATTGTTTCGCGAACAGGAAACGCCTGAAGACCGAATTCAGTTGAGTTTAACCCCTTGACTATTTATTTCCGCTACTGAGCTCGTATAACATTTTACTATCGGCGATTTAGAGGAAAAGTGGGAAAATTTTTCATTCTACTTTAAGCGGAAATTTCATTTGAAGATGATGCATTGTTAACGCTAGGTTTACGGGAATTTATTGTACAGTTTATTCTATTGTTCCTGGGTAAGTTGATGTTCTTTCATTTAGATTTTGGAAATTGTAGATGTAGAAATAGACAATCAGGATTCATATTCGTGTAATTTGATCAACGAAAACCGATTAAAACATTTACCAAATAATGTTTATAAAATTCTAGTGTTAATAGCGAAATAGTTGTGTGCTTTGATCCGTGAGTTGAACACTGATTGTTGTCGAATTAGTCTAGAAATCTTCGTCGCGAGTCTCAGTCGTCATTGTACGCAAGGTGTTAAAGAAACTTACGTGCGAATCGAAGTGATAGACTGTTTCGTTGCCTATTAACCCTTTGCTCGGAAGTTCGCTAATATTTCCACTGAAAAACTTCTGGAGCGCAAACTGTTAAAAGACGCCAACAACGATCACAACCATCTCACTCCACTCAACCGCACAGCCCGAAACAAGAAGCACAAATCACCCGAAGAAGCCGAAAAATCCAGTCGCGCGTTTTTCCCCGCCCAACTTTCCGGCTTATGAGATTTAATCGGTCCCCCGGAAAGACAAACGAGCGGAATAACTTCCGCGACTCGGAATCACCCGGTTCCAGTTGTTACCGCGCGGATTAACTGCGACAAATCATCGGGATTAAACCAGAAACCCAGAGACACCGCGCGCGAGAAAGGGAGCATCAGCGCGGAAGAGTAGCGAAAGAGCGTCTAACTCTACGCGGATCCGGAATCGGACAGAGGAAAGCCAGGATTGCGAATCGAAAGTACGAACGATTAATAACGCCGGGCCGGCGGCGATTAATCAGAATTGAACTCGCTGTTAAATACTCTCTCGCGCGCTCGCTCGCCCCTTCCGCTTCGCGCGCGGGATAAACAAAGGTTTACATCAGTGTCAGTCGCAACAAGTCCGAATTCGTCTAGGGTTCTCGGCATGAATATTCACGGTCGCCCGCCCCCGCGCGTCCCTTCCAGCCGCCGGTCGGCCGCGCCGATTCGCCACCCCCGTCGACCCTCCGACTCTCTTTCCCCCGTGCGGGCGCGCGGCGCGGGTCCGCGGCCGCTTCGCCGACCCCCTGCGATATCCATCGAACGGCTCGGCCGCTCAAAGGCTGAAATCACAATACGCGTTTGTCCGGTTGACGAAGTCGACTCCACGGGGCCCCGGCTAAAGCAAATAGAACGAGACGGACAGAGAAAGGGTGGACACGGGGCGAGAGGCCGGACGGCGGAGAGGCGGACGGGGACGGGCGGCGGCCAATGGTCATTGCCTTTGAATTGGAAATTACGTTTCGGCCGGTCAAGTGTCGATTTTCACCCTCGCGGATCCACCGCGGGGGTTCGCACCTTTCACGTCTCGACGCGAGATCGGTTGGAGGGATCGACGCGGAGGAATGAGCAGGGATAATGGAGAGGATGGGAGGAGGGTGGAAGAGAGTGGTGATATAAATTAACGGTTCGAGGGCTGACCAGAGATTTTCCAATTAGAGGGTTTTCAGCTGTGGATGTAAGGAGGACTGCCGGATGCTGGCCTGATTGCAGCTCGTTTCAGATGCTTTGTGGTCTTTGCGATGTGGCGTGTGTTTTGAGACGCTCCGAGGTTACTTGGACAATCAGCTTTGTGATTTTGAAGAGTGATTGGTGTTTGATAATTAGGGGTTGAGGGTAGTGTTGTGGGAGTGGAGGTGGATTCTAGGATTCTTGATTGGCTTGGTGAGATTGAAAATATTATTAACGTTTCATTATTAGACATGCAACACTTAGAAAATTCATTATAAAATCCCATCGAACTACTCCATCAAACCAAACGAAACCTCAAGAAACCAAAAACTCTCTCAAACTTTCAAACTCGTCCAAGAGACAGTCCCAACTCGAATCAAAGAAACAAATCTCACCCCAAGCGAATCGTCGCTAAATTAATCGCTACACATAATAATATTTTCAATTTCTATACTTCCAAAATTCATCACAAAATCCCATCAAACAACTTCAACCCCAATCGAAATTTCAAGAAGCCAAACTTCCTCAAACTTTCAGTCTCATCGAAAAGACACTTTCAGCTCGAATCAAAGAAGCAAATCTCACCCCAAGCGGGTCGTCGCGAAATTAATCCCAACACGTAATAATATTTCCACTTTCTACATTTCCAAACTTCATCACAAAATCCCATCAAACTACTCCATCAACCCCAAAAAGCCTCAAGAAACCAAAACCTCCCTTAAACATTCAAACTCATCGAAAACGCATACAAAATGCCATCAAACAACTCATCAACCCAAAAACCTCCCTCAAAACTTTCAACCTCGTCTAAAAGGCGCTTCCAGCTCAAATCGAAGAAACGAGGAGCCACCCCCAGACGAGTCGTCGCTAAATTAATCCCGACACAGTCCCGAAGTGGTTCCGCGAGGGTTGTCTACCGAGGTGTCCCAAGTTCTGCGAAGCGATTTAGCGGGTCCGCGGA